CTCTCGGGCCAGGTTTTCGGGACACAGTGAGCTCTGATGCCACGCTTGCTGCCTACTACACAGGAGCTTCTTTATCTGGCTAAGCCTCTTGCCCCACCCAACAGTCCTCACCAGGAACTAAGGCGGCACCTGTCTCCGCAGCCGCAGGTGGAGATGCCCGTGCCCACCTCCAAACACACCCAGGGACCCAGGGAGAGTCCCTGACCTCATGCCCCAAGCACAGCCTGATGACCTGAACACCTGAATCTTATTATTTATTCATTTATTCAGCAGCTATTAGCACAAGTTAACTAAGCGCAGGCACTAGGTAAACCCTGGAGAATTAGTTAATGAAGCCTTCTAGCCCCAGGTGGCCCAGGAGGAACGGTGGAGGGGCGTTGGTGGCCGGCTGAGAGGCCAGGTGACAGGGAAGCGACCGCTGCTGGCTTACGCCTGCAGGGGGACCTGAAACCGCAATGTGCTCCAAATAGTATGACAATGATGCTGGCGCATGCAAACGCCCACACCTCATCAAGAGCGACTTAAATGAGCTCCGTCTGCTTAATCCGGGAAGGATTTCTGGCTTAGAGACTCTGAATGAAAAACCTGGGGGAGGGGCAGGCTCTTAAAGGCATCCTCTCCATTAGCAGAGGTTTTGCTTATATGAATTCATTGTTTCCAAATGCTAAACGTGACAGATTGCCAAATTCTGTCTACAAAAGCAACATGAAAACTAAAGAAATAATTCATAAAACAAGACTAAGAATGTCTAACTTGTAAGATTAGTGATACAAAGTGTTTAAACGAGGTTTGAAATGTGACCCGTTGGATGGAGAATGAATGTGCTGCCTGTGGGGCCAGCGGGTGGGAGCACCGGGCTCAGGGCGAGGCTCGCTCTCCTCGGCCGTCACCTGTGAACCGCGCACTTAACAGTGAGTGACGCAGTCACTCCAGCCTTAACTGCGCTTGTTAGGAGATAGAGGCCAAGAGGCCTGCGAGGCTGTTTCGGCCCTAAAATCGTGTGATAAAGAAGACGGCAGCTGTCACCTGCAGGTCACCGTTCAGAAAGCCCGGTCAGGCGACCTGCCCTCCTCCCGGTGGCATGAACATGCTCGGGGAGAGTGGTCGCTCGGGGGCACTCAGAAGATGTCACTGCCCCGCCTCCGCTTACACCACCACGGAGAAGTGTTCCACTTCATCATTTAAAAGGGACTTTCAATACAGGCGCATATTTTAATTTTCTTTTTAATGAAAAAGAAGCCTAAAAATGGCAAGAGGTTCAATTCCAGAAAGTAACTAGAACAGAAAGGGTGTGAGTTTATAAAAACCCATCGCCCCCAAACTAAGTGTACACATATATTTCCTTTGTGGTGTCACTGTGCAGGCAATTAATAAAGGAATCCCACCCTGGCCAGTGTTGGCCTGCGGACGGAAGGGTCCCGGGTTCAATTCTGGCCAAGGGCACGAACCTATTGCAGGCTCGATCCCCGGCCTTGGTTGGGGTGCATGCGGAAGGCAACCAATTGATGTGTCTCTCTCACATCAATGTGTCTCTCTCTCCCTTCCACTCTCTCTGAAAAGCAATGGAAAAAATATCCTCAGGTGAAGATTAAAACTTAAAAAAACAATAATAAAGGGACCCCTTCATTTAGACATACAAAGTGTCCCAGACTCTGGCGACCCGAGGATGAGCCAGGCAGTCTCGACTCGTAGAACACAGATTCTCACTGGAGTCAAGTAACGAGAAACAAATACACTGGACCATTCCAGGTTGCGTTGGGTCCTAAGGGCTGAAATGGAGGGTGCTGCTGTGCGGACGCAGAGGCGGGAAGGAGGTAGTGGGGAGAGGGGACACGACCGGAATCGCTGCTTTGTAAGACCTGGTGATACGGAGACTTTCTCAGGAGGTCACACCTAACCGGAAGCTCAGGATCACAGGAAGGGGCCTGTGACAATCAGGACAAAAGCACATCGGGCAGAGGCAACTCATGTATCAAGTCCTGGTGCAAAAGATAGTTTGTCATTTCCCAGGAATTAAAATGAGGCCACAGTAATGAATCAGATTTATTCTAAGTGCCGGTGAAGGCATAAAGCGGGGATGTGGGACGATCTCATTTGCATGTTTGGAAGATTACTCCGGCTGCCGTCTGATAAATGGTTGGAGACGACCTAGCGGGGCGCACAGGGCCCGGGCAGGGTGGGTGCGGTAGGAACAGCATCTCTGCATCTCAGCGAGGCATCTGGCAAAGACCCTCATCACTTCCAGCATAAGTAGGAGAAACCGGGGTTCAACTGCAGCACGTCTGGGTAAACTTGTAGCTAACGCAAGAGTATGCAAACAACATTGACTGTAAAGTTCATCTCACGTTAGGGGACGCTCCCTGCTGGCAGGCTGCCCCGCCCTGGCCAACACGTCCTATCAATTATCCGATCGGACACACGCTTATCCAAGTTTCTGCTGACACTCAAGGAGGACAATCAATATGTCAGACAAAAAAAAGACTGAAAACAATTTCAACGTGGATGGAACAAAAGGTCACTATTCAGAAGGTGAATTTAATGGGGGTGAATATAATACTCTTAGTTTAGGGTAAGAACACGACTGGGGAGCTCAGGATGGATCGACGTTGATGAAAAATCAATGCTCAGATTTTGTGTAACTATGTTTAAGATAAGGTAACAATAAGCAACTGTGGCTTTAAGAAAAGTGAATGTCAGTGTCAGCTGCACTCGCTGGAAACAAAGTTGCTATCATGGATGCTACTGTCCCCACCTTCACAAGGTCAAAGCACAGGCGCGGAACTGAGGACCTTTCTACACAGTCAGTGAGCAGAACTGGGTGTGCTGTGTAGAAGTGGGTTGCGTGCGAGTTAAGTACCTGGAAGAGAGAAGAATTACAGGATAAAGGGCCACGGTTAGATTCTCACAGATTTAAAAGCTCAACGAAAATCACACCGTGACACCGGATGTGAAAATGGTGACAATGAGCACATTTAGCTCAATTTTAAGGAAGTGATGTTGGGTTGGTTTTGTGTTTGGAACAACCAGAGCAGTCGGCCATGGCTCGGGATGTCGTGTGAGGAAGAGCTGAGCTCTCCACGTTTATTCAGAATTATTCAGGCTGGATGGTTATGGGCCTAGGATTCGGGTGGGGGGGCAGGGTACCCACATCACACTCCCGGTGGAATAAGCAAGGTGGGTTTCAGGCACCAGGCCTCAGGCCAATTCACCCACAAAATGAGGACAGAGCTTCCACTGTGGCTGAATTATCGCATTCAAATGACTGACCTTGAGACTGAGATTCTGTCCTTCAGATATTTTGGGAGCAGAAATGCCTGGATTTTTACACAGGGATAGTCTGAAGCCTGGGTCATTTGTTTTTTTAAATGTCATAAGTTAGAAAAACAAAAAAGTCAGTGATGCTGTGCCGATCCCTTTTTTGTTGTATTTAGTGGTGTTGTTATTTTTAAACTATATGTTTTTATTGATTTTTAGAGAGAGAGGAAGGGAGAGGGAGAAAGAGAGAGAAACATCCACATGATAGGATGCTCAACCACTGAGCCACCTCGGCTGGGAGGAGTTGTTTTGAAAAATTTCCTACACTATGAAATCCAAAAATTAAATAAGTACAAGAGTAACTTAATACAGAGCTTTTCCCTAATCACGATTCTATGGTTATTTTCCAAAATGAACCCAACAAAATTCATTTGTCAGAACTAAAAAGTCAGTGTGGCCATTAGACTTACATTAAACCCAGAGAAATAAACACTTTCTTGGGCAGCAATCAGACATGTCACCCTCCTGTGATTCTGCACACCTACGAGCCTTTGGAAGACATTCACACACAAAGTAATCCTGGAGTCCCATCTATTCCCAGGACTTAGAGAATTCATCTCCCGGCTCATAAAAATGCCAGCAAACGGCAGTAATGGATCGAGCCCCGGATATTAGGTGTATTTGATGCCAAGCTCCCGGAGAGGATTTTGTTAATGAGAATATTCTACAGTGTTACTGCTGATTCTGTGATTATAAACCTTCTGATGTTACTGCGCTGCTCTGAGTGGGGATTTTACACCAGGAAATATATAATCGTGTGCAAATACACAAACCCTTACACACGGGGCTGCTCGTAACCCTCAGAGGCCTCTGTGCTCCACTGTGCTCGCTGCTCTTGCCTGGGGAGCTTATTTGCCACTTGCTATTTCCAAATTCCACTTTCATTCATAGTCAATAGTCTCATGAACTTCTATGAGCTGCTGGTCTTAAGAGAGGGCAAGTTGTTTTTTAAATACTCTAAACTAGAAACATAAAAGGTATAACATAAAGGTAACTTTCATTGTTTTAACATTCTGTTATTATAGTTGTTTTTAAATTTTCCTAATTTATGTAATAGGAAAGAGAATTATAGAATAGACTATCCAGGTTTTCTCTTAACTGAGCTTTATGCTTGAACACCTCTCGTATTGAGTATTAATGGCAGTTCATTTGCTTGTTTAATATTTTCTTTTAATTGATTTAAGAGAGAGGAAGGGAAAGGGAGAGAGAGAAACATCAATGATGAGAGAGTCACTGATGGCTGCCTCCTGCATGCCCCCTGCTGGGGATCGAGCCTGCAACCTGGGCATGTGCCCTGACCCCTGTCTCCTGTATCCTAGGCCGATGCTCAACCGCTGAGCCACACCGGCCAGGCTGTTTTCTTGTTTATACACACTCTTTATATTGTGTGTGTGTAATTTTGTGTACGTAAGTTTACATGTGTGTACAGAGCACCACATAACCAAACAATCGCAGCATCAAACTATCTCAATCCTCATAAAAGCAGAAGCCATCTCTCTTCCCACGCAGATTTACAATTTATCCTACAAACAAGGTATTTCCAGAATACGAGAAAAGGGCAAAGATGATCACACAACAAATTAAAATCGGTTTGTTTTCTGAAAAGAAACTGTTTTGAAGGCGTGTCAGTTCAGTGGCACAAACACGCGAAGCAACATCTGCAGCGCGACGCGGTGATGACTTACAGGCAAACTGCAGCCTGGCCTCTCTGCTGACCACGGTTCCGAAGGAGTTGGTGGCGACGCACTGGTACGTCCCCGCATCTCGGGTTTTATTCGGGTTGCTGATCAGCAAGCTGCCCTCAACAATACTGTAGCGGAAATCCACGCCTATGTCCACGTCTGTTCCATTTAACTTCCACCTGTGGTGTGAAAATGCCAGGAGATAAAGCCCTGTAATATCAATCAGCATTTCTGAATTGTCCAACATACATAGCAACTGGCAGTAGCCCGCAAAATCATCATGACTTTTTAACTATGGTGAAAAAACATTGGAAATGCTGCCCCCAGCAGTGGGGACAAATTAAACGCTTACAGGGAGAGCGTGTCCTTTACCTAAACAATGGCTGTAAAATGTTAACACCTGCTTTTAACTACCGATGATGCTACAGACACTACACTGTGGGTTTGCGTTTTCTTTTTGAATTTCTCCTTAGCATCTTGCACAACTTTCTCCAAACAGGGCTCCTTCCAGTGTGCAGTAATTCTTTAACTGGGTCTCCGAGGATGACAGAAGCCACGGCTCTCAGGGAGATGGCCTAGTACCTGATGAAACCGCAGCAGCCTTGCTTCGATTTGGTCCCAAATGTGACGGAATGGCCGGCTGCGAAGCCGAGGGACCCCAACACCGTCTTAGGGACCAAGCTGGCCTTGACCTCGGATGGCTGAGAAGATGCCTTTGGCCACTGGCCCTCCGACATCCGTCCGCCAGCCCAGGAAGCTCAGATCCGGGGACCAGGTGACAGAGGCTAAAGGTTTTGCTCTTCTCTGGTGTTTGTTTACTGGGCTCATCTGAGCACCTGACTATTATGTTTGGCTCAAAAAATTACTTTTATTGGGATTCACGCTTTTAAATAGCAAATCTTTAGTAACAAGAGCTCCTCTTTTTTTTTTTTAAAATGCTAATAACATTTCAAAGGGAGCTTATCTTAACCAATAAGTCATTTGAACACTTAGGAACTTTTGAGCTGATACAATTTAGCAACTGTCTTATTTTCTTCTCCCTCCCAAATCCGACACATTGTATCAGGTGATGACAATAGAATCGCTGGAGTTTCTGACATCAACCGTCTTATAGTAGCTTTCACAGCAGGAGACAGAAAATAAGACCCAGAGCAGAGAGGAAACTCGAGACACTCATCCTGGGGCCCTCAGGGGGAGCCCGCGATGTAGACGGATATGAGCGAGGGCGTGTGGGACAGTCAGTCTCAAGATTTTGGATATCTGGCGTCAACAACAACAAAAAAGAACGAGCCCTTTCTGTGGAGACCTCACACACTTCAAGGTCACCTGAAAGGACACCTCTTCCAAAAAAAGTCTCCCTCACTCTTCCTGGTCAGAACTGTTCAAGCTTTCCCCCGGTTTCCTACGGAGTTCTCCTGTCCGCAGGAATCGGGCCTTCGCCGTAGAGAATGTGCCTGGGTCCCCTGCTTTCTCCCTTCAGCAGCCCAGAACTTGACACTCTTGGGCTCCATACACACTTGTGTGTTTGGCTAAATATTTTGCTTCTTTGCTGGATGTTTTCGCTTTGGTCATGCAGTGTCCGAAGCGTGGAACCCACCCCAGCACTGCTGTGTATGTCTGCTTGCATCTGTGTATTTGAAACGCAAAACGTTAGGAACGGGAGGGCTGGGAAGCTGGGCCAGAAGCTGGAAAGGGGACGCGGCTCTCGATGTGTCTGCTTGTCAGAAGATGGTATCAGACACCGACGCCGTGTTTGGGCTTGACGGAAATTCTCTCTGTGCTCTGACACAGACAGGGAGGTGATAAGCAATAAAAAGAGAGCAGCTGGGGCACATTTTCGCAGGTCTGCATGCATACGAATCTCTGGCTTTGGCTGTCTGCCTTTGACATTTTTTCTTGAGTCAACTGATCACGTCTCAGCCACAACTCTCACTTCAAATGGTAGTCAAGCAATTTAATATGACAAATCTAAGGAGCCAAAGAGGAAATTGCAAACTAATGTGAGCTGCACGCAGAGTGCGGGGTTCAGGGACGATACCACGGGAGTCTTTTTAGCACTGTGGCTTTGGGGACAGTCAGAGCTCCTCCGTAGGCCTGTCCCCACCTGTCACCTCAGCCAAATGCTCTGCACAGAGTCCCTGATCTCTTTTATCACCTGCCTTTACATGCAAAGAGCAAGGGACAGAGACTGTTTAGAAACTCCAGTGCTTGCTGGGAAACGCATTGAGTTTCCGTTAGAGAGACTGCGCCTGGCCCTGCGCTGCAGGCTTGGATGTGGGCCGCGCTGAATTCCTTATCTCGTCCCCACTGCAGCACTCCTGAAAATTTCACAATTTGTTTTCAGTGTCTGAGGAATCTCTTAAGTTAGTGTAATACAGAAATGGTGCCTTTGGAACAAAGGAGACTTTCCCGAGGGCCAGGACAGATCCGTGAGTCTCAGAAGCTGAGTTTTGAACCACCTGGGGAATTAAGATGAGATTCTCTGCGGAGACTGAGGCTGCGCACAGGCCACCCCTGGCGCTGTGCAGCTCTGAAGGTTTACAGTCTGGGCCTGGCTGGGAAGCTGCCTGGTGGGTTTGCGGTAGCAAAACCCTTTCTTTGTTCACTCTTTCAGCTCCGCGGGGAGAAGGGGCAGGACCTTTTGGACTTGGACTGTGCCGTCTGCACACCTAACTGAATACAAAATCACTCCAACCAGGTCTGTGGCCGCTGCTTGTCAGGAAAGGGGAGCTGTGAGCCTGGCAAGAGCAACGCCCTTAGGGGACTTCCGTGCAAGGGAAGCGGGCACAAGGCGACACTCCTTCAAGTTTTCTGGGTCTGGGTCGATCATTTCAAACTCAAGGGGCAGGGAAAATGGAGAGGGTGGGCCCAGCCCAGGGAACGGGAACAAACACTCGGGGTCAGTGGGGGCTCCTGAGGCGTCCCTTGGAGAGCTCGCTTTGAATTCCTCCTACTGTTTCTTTACCCCAAAGTCAGCCTGAACGCTGGACAGGTGCGGCCAGAGAGGGGTCTGAAAACACCTGACCGCCCCATGCTTCCCCTGCTCTGTCCTTCAGCCAGAGGGAGGGAGGGATTTTTAGCTCTGGGGGCCAATCGGCTTTTCTGTGCCAGAGAAAGTGACAAAGGCCCAGGAAAAAACAAGGTTCCAGCAACTGCTAGTGCATATGAGGAAAATCTTCTCAGCTTCTCTGGCAATCTTTAAAAACATAATAGGCTCCTGTTCACTGGCGGGTTTTAAATAACCAACAAGCCCCTGTATCTCCAAACACAATGTTACAAAAGCCATGTTAATTAAAGGTCACAGTCTGGGGAGAAACAAAGCAGCAACTAGCCAAATTCTGCTACAAAACTGTTTCCATTTGCGGCCGACACGTGAACCTACATGGGGCTGTGCGCTAAACCCGGGCCATTCGCTCCACGCTTACGGACAGAGGGACCTCGCCTCTCCCATTTACTTTTTACAACGTGAAGCACATTCAAGGGCTTGATTTAGCCTCAAAGTCAACCTGTTACAGGGACAATCACTCCACAGTCTGTCCACTCCAGTGAGGTCACACCTGCTGTCCTAGAACAGTTATTAACAGTGGCCTTTCTCTTGAAAAGTGTCCCGGTTTGGAAGATAATTTATATGTTCACCCTGATGGTGTAGTCCACTAGGGAGCTGTTGGTTTTTTTTTGGGGGGTGTGTGTGTGTTTAAAAAGTAGTTTTATTGAATTTTAGAGAGAGAGGAAGGGAGAGGGAGAGAGAGGAAGAAATGTTGATGTGAGAGCAAAACATCGATGGGCTGCCTCCTGCTCGCCCCCTGCTGGGGATTGAGCCACAACCCGGGCACACGCCCTGACCGGAAATCGAACCCATGACCTCCTGGTTCCTAGGGCAACACTCAACCACTGAGCCACGCTGTCTGGGCAAGTGTGTCATTTTAGTTTTACTTTGTTTCTGTTCACTAATGGCCCTGACCATCTTTTTACACATTTAATGGATATTTTCTGTTCCTCTTCTTAGAAGCACGGAACCAAGGCTTTTGGTCCCGTTCTACTGGGCGACTTGTTTTTTACTTTAGATTCCTGGGAATTCTTTAAACTCTTCGGATATTGATCCTTTGTCAGCAGTAGTATTAAATATACCTTCTCTCAGTTGGAAGCTTGTAATTTACTCATCTCAGTAGATTCTGTCAAACAAAAGTTCTCTACATTCCTGAAGTTAAACACTTTGTCATATTCCAGAAACCTCTTCCCTCCAAAGCCATAGATACGTCTGTCTATTTCCTTTAAAAAAGTGCTGTAATGTTTTCACGTCGGTCTTCTGATCCCCTGGAGTTGATCTTCCGTACATGCCGTGAGGTGGGGGTCCAACCGTGTTTCATTTTTTTAACCATATAGATAATCCATTGTGCAGTATGTCTCCGATTTATTTCTATTGTTGTCATGAGTTTTGCCTTTTTTTGTCTTTGCAAGACAGTATTGTTTTTATTACTTTTATTCTTTAGTGCAATTAATTTTTATGTGGAAATACTAACCCTTGACTACTTGCTTTTCTTATCATTTTTTCTTGTACCTGGGGTCATTTTTGTTCTGCTTAAAGTATATTTTTTATAATTTTCCTTAGGGAGGGTCTGCTGGAGTCAAACTTTGGTGTCTGCTTAAAAACTTATGGATTTTGTTGTCCTTAAAAACAGTATTTCTGCTATAAAGAAATTCGACAGTTAATTTCTCTCCATAGTGAAGACTGTTTTCTATCTTGATTTTTTGTGGCTCCCGACAAGTCGCTGCTGGTTTAACTGTCTCTTTGAAGGTTATTGGTGCTACAACTTTGGCTATTTTATGGTCCTGTCTTCGACTTGGCGTCTACTGTCTCACTGTGATAATTCTAATGAGGCTTTATTTTTATTTGTACTGCTTACAGTTCAAGTCACTGGGCTTCTAAATCTATAGCTTGGAGTTTTTAGTTAACTTTGGAAAATTCTTAGCCTTCTCTTTACACACTGCCTCTCCCCCACTCTCCCTTGCCTTTGCTGGGGACTCTGATACGGGTAAACGTCTTCTCTTAGCCTCTCCCTCCCTCCCTCCCTAAAAATCAATGGAAGAAACACTCCTCCTGTGGGGTAATGATGAAGACAAAGCAGCCACAGAAACCGCCACCACGCAGCACCAGGCGATTACGGTGGCTTGACAGTCCCCCGTGGGAGGCACCCAGCCCAGTTCTGCGCATTTCCTGTGGGGACGGAGCCCGGGACCCCGTGGATTCCGGGGGAGGATCTCACGCCAGCCTCTCAGCGAGGCTGAGCCAAGGCTCTGACCTGCGACCCCGACCCAAGGCCCAGTTCACGCAGTTCATCAGGTGGGAGCCGCTCCCTGGCGTCCAGGTGCCCCTCGGGTTCACCCGCCTCTTCTAGGCTTCTGAGTGCTTGCTTCCCCGGCAGGACAGTTTACTGACGCACTTTAATACGCTCGTTTTTGAAAAGTACAGTTAAGAAGTGGTAAGGTTTTCAGAGAGGGGGTCAACCGGGACATTTCACTCCCGGTCTGCCTGGGACGGACGTGGGACTGAGCTTCCGAGGACACAGGCGCGCCCGGGACGCCGCCTGGAGCGTGCATGTCCTTGGCACCCGCCAGGGCTTGTTGACTTAGCGACAGAAACTACGCGCAGGGAGACACGCGCTCGGGTCAACACACCTGATGTGAGGCTTCGGGTTCCCCCTGACTTGACAGCTGAGCTTCAACTTCTCCTCCTCGGCGCCCAAAGGGAACATGACGTGACTTGGTTCCTGAACGAACACCGGGCCATGCAGCGTGTGGTCGTCTGAAAGGAGAGGAGAGAGGGCCCAGAGGTGAGCATCGCCCGGTCGGAAGGACAACACCGGGGGAGAAAGGGATAAACTGACCAAAGGAGCGGTCGGCGGGACCGGCCCAGCGCCAGCCCCGGGGTGACCCGTCCCCAGGCCCAGAGCCGTGTGGCTCATCATGGCGATGTCATGGAGGCACCAACGCTCCCGGCTCTCAGCGACGGCGTCCAGACCGCAAGCAGGCCTGACCGCCTCACGGCCGTGGGCGACAGGACACAGCCCTGCTCCTTTAGATAAAGCAGGTACAGCCCGGCTGCGAAGGTCCACGAAGGCAGCCTAGAGTCACGAGTCACGTCACCTGTGGGGACTGACCAGCCTGTCCTGGACGCGCCCACGGAGCCCCGGGCTCAGCACCGGCCGGCCGCACCCGCG